ATGAAATCTACCCAGATTTGAGTTCCTACACCTGCCTATAAGGTCTTCCAAGAGAGCTCTTAACACAGTATATAATAATTGTCTGTTTATATGTCTGACTACCCAGTAGACCTTGAGTATTCTAGTCTAGGACTATGATTCATTTGTTTTATTAACCACAGTTTCTAAACCTTTCAAGAGAGTTCTCCTTCCAAACACATAACAGATGAGATCCCAGCCATTTAAGAATTTCTTTAACTCTAAGATGAAATACAACATTATCAATGGGAACTGTCAGGGAAATCTTAGCCATCTATAAAATAAGAAAACCTTTTAGCTTTAGCTTATCCAGTTGGATGCTTCTAAATTTGCTTGAATACATCTAGATCATATACTTTAATAATTAATAGCTTGAAGCACATTATCATTAGAAAATATGTTTCCATTCTCCCTGGTTTTGATGAGCCTGTGAAGAGCAGCAACCTGTGTTATTCACATATGTACAACCCACACCACCTGCAACACCTCCAGGTTTCAAATACATGTTTTCTACATTGAACTACCTAAGTGAGTTGCCACACTGATATCTGGCTACCTTTTTAAATGTATGTTTACATTTGTATGCTTGCAAAGAAACAAAGACAAACTCAATTCAGGATTCAGAGAAATGTCATAGAAGGAAACCATGTTTCTTTGCAACATGCCTCCAACACACATACACATTCTTGACATCAGGTAAGGTGGCTTGGGAAAGTGCACAGAACATAATGCAAGTCTCCCTCATTTTCACATAGTAAACAAGACAGTATGTGTCTGTATGCCCACAGATACTGCCCATCTGGGGTCTGGACTACATTCTTTAAGTGTAAGGTGCACATTGCACAATCTCCCCTCCACAGAGAAGGAGGCAGGGAGCTGGTGGGTTCCGCAGCTCCCGTGTTCTTCCGTGTTCTCTGACAGAAAGCGCACTGCATGTGCAGGGAGAAAGATCCCACATGAACACTGACGTTTCCATGTTTATACAGACAGGCCATTAAAAAAGTGCTTAAGGGAACGTCCAGATTTCAGATAGCTACAGCACTTATTCCCAAGTTATTCTTAAATGAGGACATATGGGGGCACCACTGTTAGCACACTTCTTTCTAAAGATTTTGGACTGACATCACTGATAGAAGAAGGGGGGAGGAGAGGAGGGCAGGCTGAGGAGTGCCTGTTTTCAGTCACTGTGGACGATCTGCCCGGTTTCCTTATTGCCTACATTTAATGTTGGATTCTACACCACCAAGATTTGCCAGACCTACTCATCTTCTTTTTTTTTTTTCCTACTCATCTCCTTAGCATGCTCAGGGATCGACTTTGTGCAGGTAAAGACCATTTCTAATACCACTCGAAAACCACCCTAAGGTCAGGCTGCAGATTAGGCTCGCCTACCCCCAATTTAAAAAGGTATTCTTTCCCCCGACACTTTCTTCACGGGTTATGATTTGTACCCGTCTGATTTTCGTTCCCCTCCCCTTGTTCTTTGTCTTCCTACTACTTCTTCTCTCTTTTCTTCCTTCTCCTGAAATTGTGTCTTAGGGTCACCATCTTTCTGAAGAATGAGATTCTGAACTGAGCAAAGAGCCTTCTCCCCTGAAGATTCTTAAGAATAAACTTCAGCTTTATTGCACAGTCTAATGTCATGCTTGATAATAGTATAAAGTATACCTATAGAGGTATAATTCCCAAATGGCAAATATTGAAAACATGAAAATAAATGTTAACACAGTTGGTTCAGCTGCCCTTGTAAAAGTAAATATCAGAACAAAATCATATATCAAAAAGTACATAGCTATATATTAAGAAGTTAGAAAAGTTTTGAAATCCAATGAGATTATGATTTTCTCTGATCAATATCCACTTTTCTTTTGTGCTGCTCAATGTTTCAGCTATGAACTAATAAACTAATAGGTTGAAAATTATTACTTAGCTTAGCATTCTGATAAATTATATGCAAAAATGTATCTCCCTTTGATAAATGGTAAAATTAATTTACCCACCCACTCTGTCACAATTATTCCATAATCCTGAAAATATAATGAATCTCTTTGAGGATTCTTAGCGCCTTGCTATCATTATCAAGTACAAATCTTTTCCTTTAAAAGGTCATTATCAAATACAAATATTTTAAAAAGATATTTTCCCCTTTCTGGATTACAATTACTACATATTCAGTGATACTGCTACAGCTATTTCTAGTTCCTAACTAAAAGGCTTAATTTGGGTTGCTCACTCCTTTACAGCGAAAAAGTATACATCATTTAGTCTTGACTTCCAAACTTAAAGGGTTACTTCTCTTCAGATCTGTATCCTGAAGTGTGTCAGATTGTCTACTGAGTTGTGGTATATCAGTAGATATAACCAGGCTCTATGGAGCACCAGGATGGTTTCAACTCTAAAAAGATGCCAGGGTTCAGAGAATAAAAATCATAAGCTCGGATTTCTGAGGTCCTTTCTTTCAGGACAGAACTGAGTCAAACGGAGGAGCTGCCTAGGACATCCTGGAGAGCAATTCCAACTCATAATGACCCTGTAGGGCAGGGTAGAACTGCCCGTGTGTTTCCAAGATTGTGACGGCTTTATGGGAGTAGAAAGCCTCATCTCTCTCCCTTTATCACTAATACACATATCGACGGACACTTTCGTTTTGGGTTTCTTTTTAAGTAGATGGTATACTAGTACTTATATATTTGTAACTTTTAGTGTTTTAGTATATAAAAAATAAGATGTGCATGTTCCTTTGCACAAGCTCTAAAAATTGAAGAAAATGCATGATTCAATTTCAACAAGGAAAATGGAACACACCGTGCTGTGCACAGGGTAAATATTTTAAGTTGATTTACTCAATAATGACTCCACATTGCTTATATGATTGAAGCTAATATGTATCCTGGCACCTGACCCATTCAAAGTCATTTTCCAAAAATTATTTATAAATACAAAAATCATTATTGACAACCAATAATAAAATGTAAGCAATTTCAACTTCTTGGAATAGGCAGTAGAGGCATTTTGACCAAGAAAGCCTAGTCCAATATACTACAGAGCCTATCTTATACTCCTAATAGTTATATTAAAATATATAAGGGGGATTTTAAAAGTTTGTGGGAAAATGGAGTTGAAAGATACTATGATTTTCAATGAATTTGTGAAGTCCCCTCATGCAGGTGAAAAACAATACTATTATGCATGCATGACAATTTAGAAGAAAAACACAATCACTTATAAAAATAATCTAAACATTCTCCTTTATTCCAAACAGTAATTTAAGTTTTTCCCCTTTATCAAGATGATAACATTTAAGAAGAAAATACATGTTTTCATCATCTCTAAAAACCAGCAATTTTACCAAATTACACACACACACACAAAATAAAAAAATGTCTAGTACTTGCCTATATACAAAATAATTTTTTTCTGACAAGATTTCATTTTTATCACAGAGAATACTCTAATTCAGAATCAACTCGACAGCAAGCGGTTTTCCACTTAGAGAAGCTCTGCAGTGATGCAACCCAGGCTCTGCCCGGCAATGAGCAGCAGAGCAAAGCCATCGAGCACCTAAAGAAGACGAGACGGATTTAGAATCCTTCCTTTCAGTGGTGCTCGGACTTCAACGCAAATCAGACACACCTGAACAATGTCATAAACTTTCGAATGGTGGGCCTCTCTCTGGAGAATTGGTCTCAACTGCTCAGGGCAGAGGACTGAGAATGTGCTTTAAAAAAAAATTCACTTTACTGGGGGCTCAGACAACTCTTATCACAATTCATCCATCCATCCATTGTGTCAAGCACATTTGAATGTTTGTTGCCCTCATCATTCTCAAACGCATTTTAACGAGTTCCCAGGTTATGCTGGTGATGATGATGATGATGATGATGATGATGGGAAGAAGGGTTGTGCTCGTCTGGAAATCTCACTCTGAAAATTGTTGCTTTCTTCAGTCACTGTGGAAGTTTTAGGATACTTTGCTTAATATTTCCTGTGGTAGTTATGGAATCGTTTGTTAATTTGAGAGGATTAAGAGTGAAGAGGTAGAGTGTAGCCTATCAATCAGGTCATAGCCAATGAGGCCTCTATGTAGGCATGGCCTTCTCCTGAGGAGTCTGGGAACTCCTGTATTCTTCCTTGGAGGCGGGAGACACTCTCTCTCTCTTTCTCTCAGTTCACTCCCTATGTGACGTCCCTGTCAAGAAGACACATGGTACTACACTATGCCCTGAGTCAGAGGAGCCACATAGAGACCCCTGCCAACACTGTGATGCTCACAACACCACTGAATCCACAAGATTACCACCTACTGGCCAGTGATCGTCCTGCATTCAGCGTCATTTCATGTGTTTTGTGAGTCTGAAGAGGAGTTTATAGAGTGGTATCAGACATGTGGGCTAATATCAGACTGATGGACTTGATCTGGACTGGGCTGGAACGTTTTCTCAATATTCAAATGCTCTCGTATATAAAGCTCTTTCTTATACACATAGGAGTGTCTATGAATGTGTTTCCCTAGTCTACCCAGACTAACACATTTTCCAATGACTACTCTGTGCTCATTGGATCAGTTAGTATTTCTACTGACCTTTAAAAATGAAAACAAAAAAAAACCCTCTTAACCTTATCAATGCTCTTATTTACAGTATTACTTCAAAATAACTTTATCACCTCCAAGTTGTACATCTCTTTTTAAGATATCACAATTTTGTTTTAAAAATCACAATTTAAAAAATAAAAATATTTTCATATACATGTAACCTTATTACTTAATGTACAGATTCAACAGTAAAACGGTAAGATGAATAAGGAAACTGAAGACTTCTGGCTCATTACAAGTTCTGATTTGCTGTTAAATCCAAAACTCACTGTCATCAAGATGATTCTGACATACAGCACACCTGTAGGACACAGGAGAATTGCCTGTCTTTTAGAAAGACTGAAACAGGGGTACAAACTAGGAGTGGGTCTGTGTGTACGGTGCTTACCTGTGACTGGAGCATCTATATCCAGCAAGTTCTTCTCCTGTCGAAGAATTGATGCCCCTTCTGTTATTATTCTCAATGCAACACTCTCTTCCAGTCTGCCCTCCTTCATGAGATGTGCTTTTAAGATATCCACACGAGGTTTCCCATCATTATCAAACACTTCCTTCGCCGTTAGCCGGTGACTTGGAGGAAATGGGACAGCTGAAAAGTGACAAAGATCGCATTATTAGATTGGCCAGAGCTCAACAAGAAAAGATTCTAGCGGACCAAAATGTCCATCCATCCTAATCATTAACAAAAGGATCCGCAGGTGCTTAAAACTGCTAAGTGTTTGGCTGTTGGCTGAAAGCTTGGTAGTTCAAATCAATCCAGACATGCCTCTAAAGAAAGGCTTGCCCCGCCCCCCCCACACACACACAAATTGGCCATCAAAAGACCAATGAGAACACAGTTGAACTCTGACACACGTACAGTGACACTGAGTCGGAGTCCGTTTGAGGGCAACTGGTATCTTGTTTTATCACTCACCACAAAAGGAAGTATTTTTAAAATTCCCACAACAAAAGTACATGGTCAAGTAACATCAAGAGTGCCCTTTTCATTCTAAATATGAAGTCATTGCTAAAAAAAAAATCTATAATTCTCATTCATGCAGTACGATGCACTGGTGCCACGGTGGGCTGAGCAGTGAGCTGCTAACTCTTATTCACAGCATCATTGCCAGCCACTCTGCAGGAGAAAGATGAGGCTGTGAGGGCCATAAAGATTTATAGTCTGGGAAACCCAGTGGAGAGTTGCACTCTGTCCTATAGGATTGTCATGAGTCAGAAATGACTCAAAAGGAGTAGGTTAAAAGGGCATATTGAACAATGAGAGGACAGATTTATACCAGGGAGGAGGCCTGGGTACGTAGGGAAAAGACACAATAACAAACTCTAGTTATTGCTCAACTTGGAGACAACATATAACTCTCCTCCAAAGATGCCACACCTACTTAACACGTTCCTCTCGTATCGCTCTCACTCCTCACATGTGGAGATCCTTCATTCAATCACCAGCTAGTCCCGCAACCCCTCCTACACCCCAGCACAGTAGAGATCTGACAGGTATGAAGGTGAATTTCTGATATTAGTAAAGGAAATTCATTGTGTCTCAAGGTCATCAACAATTCATTCACTCTACAACCACAAGGATCCTAAACACAGGTTACGTGACTTTCATTGTGCCATATGCGTCCTGCTACCTGCCCACTGCTTCCGTGCCATGGTTCCTCTCTGCAGAAAAAGGACTGACAGTAACAAGTAAATCTGGCCTCCTCATTGCCTACAAGTGTCTCTCAGGGAATCAACTTAAATACACCCAGACCAATTAAATCCTGTTTCATCTAATAAGCAAAAAGAACAAAAAATAAAAACAAACTCACTGCCATCGAGTCAATGGCGACTCATAGTGACCCTCAAGGACAAGCTACAAGTGTCCCTGTGAGTTTTATCCACATGAAATTGTCTCTAGTTAAGGGAGATCAGGCAGTGAAACTATATCGGTAGACACAATCCAACCAGATCTAACTATGCTGCCGGAATGAGGTGATAGCATTAGGAGGCTCAGGAAGTCATCAGACATACCTGAATGTAAACCACAACTTTGCACAATTCCAACATGTGTGACCTTGAGCAAGTTAAACGACCGTTTGGCCTCCATTTTCTCATCTGTAAATATTACTATCTGTTAGTTTGTCATATTGTGATCGCTTGTATGTTGTAAGTTTGGAAGCTATGTCAATGGTATTTCAAATA